ACACACACACACACACACACACACACACACACACACACACACACACACACAAATATTCCACTTTCTATATAATATGTGATGTGTGTATGAGTCCGTGCATTTAAGTTTGTTTGTTTATTTGGGTGCGTGTGTTTACCTTTCCTGTGTCTATGGTTTACCTTTCCTGTGTCTATGTAAAAAAGAATACTTACTTTGTTTTCTTTAACCACTCCAATCCCCCCCCCTCCCTTTTCGGGATTGGCCTAAAGACACTACAGTCAGTGGCACTGCTCAGGGGGTGAATAGATACTACGTTTAGAAGGGTACCGGCTGGTAGTATAACTGTATTTCAAATTTAAGTTAATGCCTACTCGCTACCTCAGAACTACAAAGTTTTATCTGACATTTTTTGGCCGTTGTGAGTCATTGAGACCACGGGGTTAGAAACCAATTCTATGTGCTCTCTCAATATCGTAAGATAATTCAGAGTCGTTATCGAGATATTTAAAGAAATGCATTCAAAAAAGCTTGGCATGTTATGAAACTCAATATTTTTTACGTCAGATTTCTCCAAACTAGGAATTGAGCATAGAAAACTTTTAAATTCTGGGGTAGAGAACGGTTACTGTTTTAATACGATTGGGTTATAATCCAGAGCAAGCAAGCGAAGCAGGGGTAGGCCCAGAGCAACCTACTTGGGGAACCTGAACAAGTGGGTGACAGGGAAAGATAGGGGAAACGTGGCTTTTTTAAGAGCATCCGAGCAAAAGGAATGAATGGAGAACCATGACCGCCGATGTCTGTCACAGATATGGCACTGGGTGATGATGATAATTCAGTGTGGGTGAGTCGGTTTGACGGAGTGTGGGTTACCGCATGTCAGGGTAAAGAGGTGCACATAAAATAGTCACTCGCTGTCAAGGAAGGTCTTTGTGGCACCGGCCATGGTGTAACGAAAGACACACGTAAGAGACGCATTCATTACAGTTGTGCGTGGGATGAGTGATAGAGAGAGAGAGAGAGAGGGGG